AGCTGGGACTACAGGCATGTGCCACCATGCCCGGCTAATTTTTTTTCTATATTTTTAGTTGTCCAGCTAATTTCTTTCTATTTCTTTTTAGTAGAGACGGGGTCTCGCTCTTTCTCAACCTGGTCTCAAACTCCTGACCTCGAGTGATCCTCCCACCTTGACCTCCCAGGGTGCTAGGATTACAGGCGTGAACCACTGCACCTAGCCCTATGCTTTTGTTTTTAAATGCTAGACAAGATTTTTTAAAGGGATTTGTGCACCTACATTACAATACTACATAACTCTACATTTATCTTTATATTAACCTTTACCAAGGAGTTTTATATTTTTATATGGTTTCATGTTGTTGTTTATTGTCTTTTTGCTTCAACTTGACAGACTCCCTTCAGCATTTCTTGTAAGGCAGATCTAGTGTGATCAATTCCCTCAGCTTTTGTTTATCAGTGAAACTCTTAATTTCTCCTTCATTTTTAAAGGACAGTGTTGTCAGATACAGTATTCTGGGGTAGCCGTTTTTCTTTCAGCACTTTGAATATATCATTCTACTCCCTTCTATTCTGCAAAATTTCTGCTGAGAAACTGGCTGACAATCTAATAGAAGCTCACTTGTGTGTGATGAGTCATTTTTATCTTACTGCTTAAAAGATTTTCTCTTTGTGACTTTTGACAATTTGATTATGACGTATCTCAGTATAGGTCTCTTTAAATTTACCCTAGTTGGATTTCTTTGAGCTTTGTGAATATGTACATCTTTCTTCCTCAGATTTGGGAAGTTTTCAGTCATTACTCCTTCCAATAGGCTCTCTGCTCCTTTCTCTTTTTCTTCTTCTAGGACTCAAATAATGGATATGTTGTTATACTTGATGGTGTCCCATAATTCCCTTAGACTCTGTTTGCTTTTCTTCATTCTTTTTTTTTTTTCTTTTGGCTATCATGCCTGGATAATTTCAAATGTCTTCTCTTCAAATTTACTAATTTTTTTCTTCCGCCTAGTCAAGTTTTCTATTGGACCCCTGTAGTGAGTTTTTCAATTCAGTTATTGTATTCTTCAGTTCCAGAATTTCTGTTTGGTTCTTCTTTATAGTTTCTATCTCTTTGATGATATTCACATTTTGTTCATGTATCATTTTCCTGATTTTGTTTAATTGTCTATCTGTGCTCTTTTTTAATTCACATTGAGCATCCTTATGATGGTTATTTTGAATTCCTTCTTTGGTAATTCATATATCTCTGTTTCTTTAAGATCAGTTTCCAAATATTAATTTGTCTTTTAGATTGGGTCATGTTTTCCCATTTCTTTGCATTCTCTGTTATCTTCTGTTGGGACTTCAGCATCCAAAAAGCATCCATCACTCCTTGTCTTTGGATTCTGGTTCCATACAGTGAAGATTGTCTCAAATCAGTTTGGCTAGAGATTCTGAAGCTTTTACTGGAGATCCTTCCTCTCTGGGCTTCTGTGTGAAATCTCCTAATTGAAGAGGTTTACTGGTTTCTACCCAGGAGCGCCACCTGGTATCTATCTGTGGTACTGTAGCCTGCCTCGCTGGTAGTTTAGGAAGCCACGGTACTGGAACTCCACCTGGTGTCTATGTGTAATACTGCACACCTTGGTGCACATGAATCTCCTTTGTTCTCAGCAGCCCTCAATCTGGCATCTCATTCTTGTCAGTATTTAGCTTTAGCAAGACAGAAACTAGACTCTTGGGAAGTCTCCCCTCCAAAAAAGTTAGAATATTGCATGTATATCCCATTCTTCTCTTTCCCTACTCAGTCTTCTCCCAATCACTCCCACTGTTCTGGAAAACAGATTCTGGTGAGTGTCATATATTTTCCTACCACGTTTCAATTTGGTTGGCTTCCCACTAGCCTAGGGTGCAGGGACATCTTAACTGGATGCTGGGTTTCTTAAAAAGGCAATTGATTCATGTATTGTTGTTAAGCAACTGTCTCCATGGGGGAAGTAGGGTCTGAGGCTTCCCATTCTGCCATATTGCTGACATCATTCTTGTAAGTCTACACATCACTTTTTAATTTATTTACTTATTAATATTTTTAGAAACAGGGTCTCAGTCTGTTTCCCAGGCTGGAGTGCCACGCTGTACCTAGAACTCCTGGGCTCAATCTTCCTGCCTCAGCCTCCTGAGTAGCTGGGACTACAGGCCTATGTCACCATGCCCAGCTAATTTATTTATTTTTTAATATTTTGTAGAGACAGGTTCTTGCCGTGTTGTCCAGGCTGGTCTCAAACTTCTGGCCTCAAGCAATCCTCCTGCCTCAGCCTCCCAAAGTACTGGGATTACAGGTGTGAGCCACTATACCCTATCCTATTTTAAAATTTTTAATTGATGCATAATGATTGTACATATTTAGGGGCTACATGTGATATTTTGTTTTTTCATTTTTATTTGTTTTTTTATTTCAGCATATTATGGGGGTACAAATGTTTAGGTTACATATATTGCCTTTGCCCCACCCAAGTCAGAGCTTCAAGCATGCCCATCCCCTAGACGGTGCGCACCGCACCCATTAATTGTGAATATATCCATCCCCTCCTCCCCCTCCCACCTGCCCGACACCCGATGAATGTTATTACTATATGTGCACTTAAGTGTTGATTAGTTAATACCAATTTGCTGGTGAGTGCATGTGGTGCTTGTTTTTCCATTCTTGCGATACTGCACTTAGTAGAATGGGTTCCAGCTCCATCCAGGATAATACAAGAGGTACTATATTACCATTGTTTTTGGTGGCTGAGTAGAACTCCATGGTATACATATACCACATTTTATGAATCCCCTCATGTATTGATGGGATACACGTGATATTTTGATACATGTATGCAAAGTGTAGTGATCAAATCAAGGCAAGTGGGATACTCATCATCTCGAATATTTATCATTTCTTTGTGTTGGGAACATTTAAATTCCTCTCACAACTATTTGAATTATAATAAATTGTTTTTAACTATAGCCACCCTACTGTGCTATAGAATACTAGAACTTATTCTTCCTACAGAATTGCAATTTTGTATCTATTAACTAACCTATCTCTATCTCCTCTCCATCCTACCTTTCTCAGCCTCTGGTAACCACTATTCTACTCTCTACTCCTATGAGGTCAAATTGTGTGGCTCCCACATATGAGTGATATTTGCCTTTCTATGCCTGGCTTATTTCACTTTACATAATGTCTTCTAGGTTCATTCATTACACTGTAAATAGTAGGATTTTATTCCTTTTTATGGCTGAATAATATTCAATTGTGTATACATACCACATTTTTTTATCAATTCATCTATAAATGGATACTTAGGTTGATTCCGTATCTTGGCTGTATACTGCTGCAATAAACGCGGGGAGTGCAGATATCACTTCAACAAACTGATTTTCTTTTTGGATATACAGACATACCTCAGAGATATATGAGTTCAGTTCTAGACTACAGAAATAAAGCAAATATAGTAATGAAGTCATTTACTTTATTCACTTAAGTGAATTTTTTGCTTTCCCAGTACATATGAAAGGTATGTTTATACTATACCATAGTCTATTAAGTGTGCTATATCATTATATATAAAAAGTATATCCCCTTAATTAAAAATATTTTATTACTAAAAATTGCTAATGATCATCTCAGCCTTCAGGGAGTTGTAATCTTTTTGCTGATGGAGGGTCTTGCATCAAAGTTGATAATTTCTGACTTTTCAGGGTTGTGCTTGCTGAAGGTTGTGATGAATGTAGAATTTCTTAAAATAAGACAACAATGAAGATTATACCATTAATTAACTCTTCCTTTCACAAAAGATTGCTCTATAGCATATAATACTCTTTGATAGCATTTTACCTGTAGTAAAATTTGTTTCAAAATTTAAGTCAATCCTCTCCAACCCTGACACTGATTTATGAACTAAATTTATGTAATATTCTATATCCTTTGTTGTCATTTCAATAATGTTCACAGCATCTTCACCAGAAGTGGATTCCATCTCAAGAAACCACTTTCTTGTTCATCCTTGAAAAGTAACTTCTCATCTGTTCAAGTTTTATGATGAGATCACAGCAATTCAGTCACAACACCAGGCAGGCTCCACTTCAAATTCTAGTTCTCTTGCCATTTCCACGACATCTGCAGTGACTTTCCCCACTGAAGTCTTGAAGCCCTCGAAGTCATCCATGAGGATTGGAATCAACTTCTTCTGAACTGATGTTAATGTTGACATTTTGACCTCCTCCTATGAATCATGAATGTTGTTAATGGCATCTAGAATGGTTAATCCTTTCCAGAAGATTTTCAATTTACTTTGCCCTGATCCATCAGAGGAATGGCATCTATGGCAGCTATAGTTTTATGAAATGTATTTTTTTTTCACCAACTTCATTTTATGACTCAAAGCTCACCATCCCCACAAAAAAGAATGCTATTCCTTATTTCTGAGAAACGATAGGACAGAAGGGTTACATTGACCAATTTTAGCGTTTGCTAAAACTCACAAATTCTGGTTTTGTTTTTATTTTCAAGTTTTGGTACAGAAGTATACATTCAGCTACTAGTGCTGTCTTCTCCCACCAAACCTTGTTCTGGCAACAAACTTTGTTTTGTTGGTTTCTGAACATAATGCTTCTTTAAAGGGAGGAGCATGTGAGATGCTGAAGCCTAAATTATGTTAGTAAAATAAAGTACCTTCACTTGAAGGTTTTTTACCACCTTGCCTTAGATTCTTTAAATGAAATCCCAAGCCTCCCCATTTTCCTTTGGTTGTCTTTTCTACCAAATCCCATTCTACCACAGAACCCAAACAGACTTTTTGGGGGAGTGAGGGGGAGGAAGAGAGACTGCCAGAGCAAAACAGAACTCCCACCAGAGCCAAGCCCCTGTTGCATTCTCAGAGTTAAAGACCAAAAGAGGACATGGACTCTTCAAAGGCTTCCAAATACATTCCCCACCCCCAGCCCCCATGGAGCCTAGTAAGTTCTGTTGAATGTGCCTGGCTAAACAAAACAAAAACTCCAATGAAATAGACTTTCCCCAAAACATCTGCTTCCAGCTTAGTAAGTCAGTGCAGTGAGTGGCACTGCTGAGTAGCAGAGAACCCAGGCCCGTAATGCCCCCATCCAGGCCAGCGGCTGCTCGGCCTCTCCACTTCACATTCACAGAATCACTTCTTGTGCAAAACAAGCAGTCTACGTAGAAAGAATGCCCTCGTAGTCTAATAAAAACTGTAGAAAAGAATGCTAGAGAGCGACCTCTCTCCCCACTTCCTCTTTATCTGCAGAGCGAGGGCATCTGTGCATAGACAGGGTAGGCAAGCCGGACGTTGAGGGAGCCGTTGTGCTGAACCAGGGATGTCTGCTGGTAATGGAGCACCAGCTCTATCAGAGAGCTGTACAGGTTGTAGGGCTCTGCAAAGGCACAGCCCCGAGCAGTGCTGTAGATCACACAGTGCTTCACTTCCCCATCGGCAACCACAGAGCAAGCATAGCATCCTTTCTTGCTGCTCTCACGAATTAAGAATGCACCATCAGGTTTCCCGTAAAGCAAATCCTCTGCTTGAACTCGATTGATATCCTCCACAAACCAGGTTTTCTCATCATAATGGGGCAGGTTTTCATCTTCTTCATTGATAAAATAGTTCTCATCAGCATCCTCATTCTTGATTCCTAGCCATGCATTCAGGCGCTTCTGTCTCACTCCTTTGTGATTGAGCCATACAAGGTGCTGATCTCGGATCTTGCGCAGCTCCATCAGGTCAGGTTTGATGCTATTCATTTTTTTTTATCTATTTCTCGGTTGTCCAAAGCTTGTTTCTTCAAATCCTGCTCTAGACGCATTTTGCTGTCATGAATCTCACCCATACGGGATTTCAATTTATCATAATTCATCATAATTCGTTCAATCTCCTTTTCATTCCCTTCTCTGCGAAATCGCTCAATATATTCTTTGCTGTGTTGTTCTTGTGTATGACACTGTTCCTCAAATATTTTAATTGTTTCATTAAAAGCTTCAATTGCAGTCCTCTTCATCTGTATTTCCTGGGATGTTCTAGTATATTCTTCATATAGCCTATCATACTCTTTACTCTTTTCCTGATACTGAGAGTGGTACTCTTGCAGTTTTTTACCTACTGCATCAATGTTATCTTCTTTTACCAACTGATCCCGTTGGTACCTGGACACTGGGTACGTCAGCTTCACATCAAGTTTGGGATTGTACTGAGCAAGAGACTCATGATGATAGTGGTTAATGAGCTCCACCACAGAATTAAATGTCAGAGGATCAGAAAAGCCATATTTACCATCCCGATGATAGATCTTTATCAACTTATTATTGCCTCCCTTCCGCAAAGTCAAAGTATAATCTCCCTGCATTTTTGTTGATGCATCTCGAACCAAGAAGGTCCCATCTGGCATGAAATGTATTTCTTTTTTAAGGTTTTTTTTTTTTGAGACAGAGTCTCACTTTGTTGCCCAGGCTAGAGTGAGTGCCATGGCGTCAGCCTAGCTCATAGCAACCTCAATCTCCTGGGCTCAAGCCACCCTACTGCCTCAGCCTCCCGAGTAGCTGGGACTACAGGCATGTGCCATCATGCCCGGCTAATTTTTGTATATGTATATTTTAGTTGGTCAATTAATTTATTTCTAATTTTAGTAGAGATGGGTTCCCGCTCAGGCTGGTTTCGAACTCCTGACCTTGAGCGATCCTCCCACCTCAGCTTCCCAGAATGCTAGGATTACTGGCGTGAGCCACAGCGCCCGGCCTAAAATGTATTTCTTAACTGATAAGATTTTAAAGTCAAAATTACTCCTTGATACTTGAGCTTCAGAATGGATGTTGTGTTAGTAGACATGAAAACAACATTAATCTCCTTATAAAGAACTCTTGGGACCAAGCACAATGGCTCCCTCCTATATCCCCAGCACGTTGGGAAGCTGAGGTAGGAGGATCGCTTGAGGCCAGGAGTTCAAGACCAGCCTGGACAACATAGCAAGACCACATCTCTAAAACCAGTTTTTAAAATTCAGTGAGGTGTAGTGGTGTGTGCCTGTAGTCCTAGCTACTTAGGAGGCTGAGGGAGGAGGATTGCTTGAGCCCAAGAGTTGGAGGTTAAGGTGAGCTATGATCAGGCCACTGCACTCCAATCTGAGCGAAAAAGTGAGACCTTATGTCTAAAGAAAAAAAGCTCTTGGGTGTCTAGGTGCATTGTCAGTGGGCAGTAATATTTTGAGAGGCATCTTTTTGTCTGGACAGCAGCTCTCAACAGTGAGTATAAAATACTCAGCAAACCATGTTGTAAACAGATGTGCTGTCATCCAGGCTTTGTTGTCAATTGCTCCAGTTATAGAGCACAGGCAGAGTAGATTTAGCATAATTCTTAAGGGCCCTAGGATTTTCAGAATAGTAAATGAGCATTGGATTCAACTGAAAGATACCAGCTGCATTATCCCCTAACAAGAGAGTCAGCTCCCCTAACAAGAGAGTCAGCCTGTCCTTTGAAGCTTTGAAGCCAGGCATTGACTTCTCTCTAGCTATGAAAGTCCTAGATGGCATCTTCTTCCAATAGATGGTGTTCTGTCTTCACTGAAAATCTGTTGTTTAGTGTAGCCAACTTTATCAATTATCTTAGGTAAATTTTCTGGATAACTTGCGGCAGCTTTTCCATCAGCACTTGGTGCCTCATCTTGCACTTTTATATTATGGAGATGGCTTCTTTCCTTAAACTTCATGAACCAACCTCTGCCAGCTTCCAACTTTTATTCTGCAGCTTCCTCACCTCTCTCAGCCTTTGTAGAATTGAAGAAAGATGGGACCTAGCTCAGGATTAGGATTTGGCTTAAGGGAATGTTGTGACTGGTTAGATCTTCTAGCCAGACCACTAAAACTTTCTTTATATCAGAAATAAGGCTGGCTCTTTCTTTTCCTTCTTCCTCTTCCTTCCTTCCTTCCTTCCTTCCTTCCTTCCTTCCTTCTTCCTCCTTCCTCCTTCCTTTCCTTTCCTTTCCTTTCCTTTCCTTTCCTTCCTTTCCTTTCCTTTCCTTTCCTTTCCTTTCTTTCTTCTTCCTTTCCTTTCCTTTCCTTTCTTCTTTCCTTTCCTTCCTTCCGTTCTTCCTTCCTTCCTTCCTTCCTCCTTCCTGTCTCACTGTCACCCTAGCTAGAGTGCAGTGGCATCATCATAGCTCACAGCAACCTCAGACTCCTGGGCTGAGGAAAAGAGATTTTTCTGCCTCAGCCTCCTGAGTAGCTGGGACTACAGGCATGTACAACTATGCCCATCTAATTTTTTCTATATATTTTTAGTTGTCCAGCTAATTTCTTTCTATTTTTTTAGTAGAGACAGGGTCTCGCTCTTGCTCAGGCTGGTCTCTAACTCTTGAGCTCAACCAATCCACCCACCTCAACCTCTCAGAGTGCTAGGATTACAGGTGTGAGCCACCATGCCTGTCCAGGAGCCAACTTTTTAATTTCCATGAATTTGTATAGTTTTGAGAGTTTCTCTTGGAATTGACTTCCATTTTTATTCCACTGTGGTCTGAGAAGATATATGATACGAATTCAATTTTTTTAAAATTTATTGAGACTTGTTTTGTGGCCTAATATATGTTCTATCTTGGAAAATGTTCCACGTGCTGATGAGAAAAATGTATATTCTGTGGTTGTTGGGTGGAATGATCTGTAAACGTCTATTAGGTCTATCTGGTCTAGAGTTCAGTTTAAATCCAGTGTTTCTTTGTTGATTTTCTGTCTTGATGATCTGTATAGTTCTCTCAGTGGAGTGTTGAAGTCCATATTATTGTATTTTTGTCTACCTTTCTTCTTAGGCCTGGTAGTATTTGGTTTATGAATCTGGGAACTCTGCTATTAGGTGCATATATATTTAGGATTGTCCTATCTTCACATTGAATCGATCCCTTTGTCATTATATAACGTCTTTGTCTTTTTTTTTTTTTTTTACCATTGTTGACTTAAAGTCTGTTTTATCTGATACAATACAGCTACACCTGCTCCCTTTTGGTTTCCATTGCATGGCATATTTTTCCTCCCTTTTACCTTGAAGCTACAAAAATATTTACCCATTATGTAAGTCTCTTGAAGGCAGCAGATATTTGGATTCTGTTTGTTTTTTTTTTAAATAGATTCCACCAATCTATATCTCTTAAGTGCTGCCTTTAGTCAATTTACATTCAGAGTTAATGTTGATATTAGAGATACTGTTTTTATCATAATATTACCTCATTGCTTTGTATTCTCAATTATTTTACTGTTTTATAAACCCCATGAGTTTTATACTTTTGTGTGTTTCATAATGGTAAGTATCAACCTTTTGATGTTTAGAACTTCTTTGAGCATTTCTTGTAGGACCACTGTAACGGTAATAAATTCCCTTAGCATTTTCTTGTTTGGGAAAGACTATTTCTCCTTCATTTATGAAACTTAGTTTAGCAGGATACAGAATTCTTGGCTGACAGTTATTCTGTTTAAGAATACTAAAAATAGGACCCCAATCCCTTCCGGCTTGTAAGGCTCCTGCTGAGAAGTCTTCTGTTAGTCTGATGGGAAATCCTCCTTTGTATGTGATTTGATGCTTTTGTCTTGCTGCTCTTAAGAGTCTTTCCTTCACATTGACCTTATTTTTTTCCAACTGACACCTTGATTTAACCTTCACATTAACTTTAGATAGTCTGATGACTATATGCCTTGGTAAAGTCCTGCAGGGCCAGAATGGCAAAGGTCTCATGAAGCTTATCTCATTCCCCAGTGTTGTGCACTTTTTTCCTCCAGTATCTTTTTTTACTGGGTTGAGCAGTTCAGCCTGCAGGCCAGTATGTGGTGCCAATAGGTAAGAACCAGCTGCAGCAGAAGTAGATGGGTACATGCAATACCCCAATGGTGGGCACAAGCCCCAGCCCTGACAGAGATGGTGGGAGGAGACTTAAGTCTCCACTGGGGGAAGGAAGGAAGCCAACCCAGCTCCACTACCAGGCAAGCAGGAACATGATCTGCCCTTCATTACACCCATTCCAGGGCTCAGGATATTCAGGTCAGGCAGAAACCACTGACCATCTGCAGTAACACTGCTGTTCTATGTAAAGAGGGGAAGGGGCTCCACCCTTCATGCAAGCCTGAGCCCAGAGGGCACACCTCTCAGGGGAACACAGTCACCCCAAAATGCCCCAGAAAGTCCATCCACAAATGCACTCATGCCAAGCTACCACAAGAGAAGCCCTGGCGGTGTCTGCAGCAGTGGGCAAGGAAGAGAAGTCCCCTTCTCCATCCACATCCTTCCATGAGCACTGGGGCTGCCCAATTGCTGGGGTAGGGCAGAACCACAGTCCTCCCCCACAGAGCCTAACACAGTGCCCATGTCTCTGCTGAAAGACGTGCAGCCACTCCCTGCCCACAAGTGGGAGGTTCTGGGACATAAAAAAGCCTACACTCTGGCTTCTTTTGTCCCATGGGGTTCTCCCTTGGTGGGGTGCACTCCCCCTTCTCCTAGAGCTGGAAATCCCTAATGGCTGGAGCACTCGGAATCCTGTAGCTCCCCTGGGTCTAGCCACCCTGTGGGACTACTGCAATCCAAGCAGGTGCTGAGGAATGTCTGTAGCAGATCTGATGATGTGAAGACATAAGGGTTGTAGGTTCCTGGGTTTTCCAAAGTCCCACAATGGGTGTGCACCAAGTATGGCTCATGCCATCACAGCTTGGGTCCAGAGAGAAAGTAAGGGACACTGCATGAGCTGGTAGCTCAGTGTGTTGCCCTCAAGAAGTCCCCAAATCACAGCCCACCCAGTACTTGGGCTCACAAGGGCAAAGAAGCTCTCCTTAAGTTTGGATACTAGCAGTCTTCCACAAGGGCTAGGAGGGCCAAAAACACCCTTTCTACCCTTTCTACAGAATACAAAGTCCCTGGGGTTTGATCTCTGCCAATTTCTTGTTTCTTTTTTTGTGTTGTAGCTTCTTCCAGTGAACTCTCTGATAGGTTCCAGCACTCTCCCCTTAACCTTCCACTTGAGCTATGACTATTCACCTGTAATTTTGGTTCTTCCTTCTGAGAAGAATTGGTCTCTGACATCTCTAGTCAGCCATATTTTAAAACTCTAAAGTATTTTGTTATAGCAGACCAAATGGACTGAGACAATACCATTCATCTCGTTAAAGTGTACAGTTCCATGGATTTTAGTGTATTCACAGAGTTTTGCAACCATTATCACAATCAATATTAGGACATTTTTATCACCCCAAAAGCAACCTCATACCCATTAGCAGTTATTCCCCATTTCCCCTCAGCCCTAGGCAACTACTAATGTATTAATACTTTCTGAATCTATAGATTTCCCTTTTCTGGATATTTTATATATATGGAATCATAAAATATATCATCCTTTGTGACTGGCTTATTTTACTTAACATGTTTACAAGGATCATCCATGTTGTAGCATGTATCACT